AAAAAAAAAACAGACTGAAAAAAAAAAGAGACAAAATTATTTTCCAATTTTGAATTCCTACTCACTATCCAACTATTTGACTAGCTAACAGTTTTTGACACAAATTGAAGCAGTTGAGCAAAACTAAACGGCCAAATCATTGTATCCATCTGTAAGTGTCGGAAGAAATCAGTGAAAAATAAATAAGACAAAATAAAAGTTTTGGAAAATTTGTTAACACCGCTGTTGTTATGTATGTAAAGACGATTAAAAGATGAATGAATGAGTTAGACAATGAAGAGGAAAACACTGATAAATTTGAATAAATTTTTTTTTTTTAATAAAAATAAAAGTTACTGTATAGATAAAAAGAAAAAAAAAATAAGATGAAAAGAAGTTTAAAATAGAACCGTTATTAAGCGCAATGCCGAGCCACGAGCCACATAACATATTCAATATTCCCAGTGAACTGTTCGCAGTATAATTAATAAAAAGTTTCAAGATACAATACTGCAGTAATTAACAGATGATTAGATTACAAAATTACATAGGAGGAAAAAAAGCGAAAAAAGAGCAGCAGCATTTTTATTGTAGAGGAAGAAAAATTTCCGTTGTTTTCCACTGAGAAGTGGTCGTGATTAGGCTGTGATTAAAATTGGTTTAACCGAAGTCCAATTATCGAATCACTAAATATGACCAAAAGTTAGAGCCAAAAGTTGTAATAAGCTAAAATTAAAAAAAAACAAAAAAAAAGACCGGAACATCCGTAAAGTTGAAGTAAAAGGGCATTTCTTATAACTGGACGTCGTTTAATATAACAGTTATCAATACAGCAGTTTTCTATTACCCCCTCTTTCGTTTATAGCTTCGCCCAAATAAAGAAAAGCAGAAAAAAAGAGACAAAAGAAAATGTTACAGAAAAATGGCAGAAACTGAAATTACTGTAGAAGAAAAAAACAAAAAAAATAATATCAGCTCAGTAAAAAAGCATTTATTACTACGTAAATTTACACCAACAAATATATACTGTACTGTAGAATAAAAAAAATAATAAAACAAATGAACAGAATACTTAAACGTTAACTAAACCAAAAATTTTTAAAAATCAAAATCTAATCCGATACATCAGAAACGAAAAAAAAACCAAATCAACTAACAGATACAAGCAAAAAAAAAAATAATAATAATAATAATAATAATAAAATAGAAATGAAAATGGAAATAAATAGTAAAAAAATATAAAAAAA